ACCGCACAGTATCATCTGGTTGGGACGGTGATCCGTGTTGCTGGCGGTCGTAAAACCGGGCTTGTGACTTTTGGGCTTGCTGTAGATGGGTACGAGCAAGCCGTTGACACTTGGCTTTCTGTTCTATTAGTTGAAACTTCCGCCGCTTTACTTATTTTTTTATCAGATATAATTTTCCGCCGATGTCGTTGACCCTTTTATTTTCAATTGTTTTTTTTCACCTAAATTGTCCTCTCAAATAATTTTATATGACATTCAAGACCTTCACATGCTTTGACAGGCTAAGCACTCTTGCTTTTCTTGTGGATATTTGCGCTGAATTAGCGCCCTTTATTTATGAGTTATAGCTTACCGCCCTATTTTTCACCGAAAGGGTTTTTGGCATGGGCTGTTGTTAGCTCTAACGTAGATATGAATTAAGTTATTTGGATGCCTAGCCATGAGTACCGGCTGCGTACTTGACTTAGTGCGTCCTTTGAAGTCGTAGACGCTTATGGGCTCTCACCTTCCTAGTTCCTTGACTGTTTTCGTCCGTGATTGTTCTTAAAGTATCGTTTCGAACGAAGATGAAAAGAAATAATAAATTAGCGCTGTGTGCTGTTGTTCAGACAGTGACTAGTCCTTTCTCATATATTTGGTTAGTAATTATAAAGTGTTTTATTCGAGCACCAACATTTAACTCAGGATCTGTTTCTTGTTGTTGCCTTTGCGCCGATTTTGGTATCTGTTGTTCTTTCATGAGACAACCATCAATATATTTACTTTGTGCTATCAGTCAGCCTATTTACCAATTACGAATATAGTTTACCTTGCCTATTCCAAACATTGTTTTGTTAAAGTGAGACGCTGGGTGTAGAGATTATTGCAAGATTATCGGTCTTTCTTACTAGTTGTCTATGCACGGAAATCTTTTAACGCCTCAAACTCTTCAGAGAGGATAATTGAAATTTTATCTCCCTGCCCAAAAAGCACTCACAAAACTTGAAGTATATTGCTGGCGAAGTTGCGACTCTTTTCTTAATTGCAAAACTTGCTGTCAACCATAGGCTTTTGCCAATACAAGCGAACATGCAAGTCCCAGGAAGTAATTGAGAAGAAGACGACTCGATCGCCGGGGCAATACTTTTATTCGCCTGACGTTTCGAGATCCGTCGCGGATTCGTCGTCAGAGTATTAGCAGGTAGGGTAACGTATGACTTTATTCTATAAATACTGCAAACTCTTATGCATACGTTACCCTACTTACTACTACTCTGACTATGCCTCTGACGACAAATCCGCGATAGATCTCGAAACGTCAGGCGAATAAAAGTATTTTCCCAGCGATCGAGTCGTCT